TGATGGTACAGTTTTATAATTTGGCATACCAATGCGCAAAGAAGTGACGCAAACTTCATGAAAATTTTGGCTCGTTATTTGCACTCAAATTTGAGATATAGGCCTCCAAAGTTCGGAACGTTTTTTTTGGGCCACCCGGTATATTCGCAATCAGCACCCCGAAAAACCATGGTAGCCACTTTACGACGTTCTAACAGGCCCCGATTTTCCCGACTTTTGGGTCGTTGACCTAACCCGGAAGGTCTACCAGTGAGCTATAGGACCTTAAAAGGGTATCATCGGCTCCCTCTCGTCACGGGCAACACGCTCGTTTTTCCGCGAATCTCTAGCTCGATCAGGGGCGAAATGGCAAGGACGTCCAAACCAAAACCAGCAATCTTAGGACAATGGTAGTGCACTTTTCGATCTTTATTGGCTGTCTCATATTGTCCGCATAATTGGTTCTCATCAAAGCAGTGCATAACAGGCAAATGTGCGTGAAACTAGTTTTATCGTTTTATCGTTAGGTCTATAACTTGCAACTGATTGGCAAATAAAAAAGATCAATTTTACTGTCTGGGCTCTGAAAAAAGATGGAAACATTTAATGCTTTATCACATTTAATTTTTATCATTCCACGATAAAACATATGTAATCAAATGACGAATAAACATAAAATGATGTAAAAGATACAACTACAAGCATTTCTTTTACATTAGAAAAGCATCAAAGAGCTGAAATATTCATCACAAGTCCGTAGGTACTAGGTATTACTTCATTATGCATGATTGTCATCATTTTTGAATGATAATACATAGCACAATATCTTAATGCATTTTACGTTAGAAGTTAATATCTTTGAGTTAAGAGTGTCACTTGGTTGACAACCGAAGAGGAAGCCAACAACCCCGGTCTCAGATAAGAACGCTGCAATCTCCCAAGCATGAGACAACATTGCAAAATTGCGATAAATGTTGTAACAGTTTTCTGAACCGATTTTATTCATTTTTGTTAACAACGCCGAATACAACGTGCCTCAAAGTGAAGACTATCCAACATTCCTTCGTTCATTTTTACCTTCAGCTAATTCATTTCGCCTTTAACGGTGTTCCAGCTTATGGAAGCTGCCAACTAACGTACCGAATGCTAAAAAGTCGGCGTGCTCAAATAATTTACAAAATATGAGCCGCAAACCGTGAGGGAAAGTGCCGGGAGGACAATGTGTCATCAGCTAGCTTCGGCTTCATTGCGTCAGTGTTCCCGTTACAAAATGCCGTCACCTGGGTGCACGCCACCCCAGAGGACCGGTTCCCAGTCCCCACAAACAGGTAACGGGGATTGCACCCTCAGCTACCAATACGGACTGGGACACACCACTCCCTAGTTCACTTTTCGACTGTCCTAATTGCGGTTCAGTGGCGAGAAAGAATGAATGAAAGGAGGTCCTCATTTAGGGCTTTCTGACAGGGATAACCATCCCTTATGAAGGGCGGCATGGCGTCTTCAAAATACGGAGCATTGTTCCTGCCGTCTGTGAATGCATGGAGGATTTAATCTATCGCACTCAGAGAGTTTGGGGTGGTGGGGACAAGGAGGTGGGGGGGGGGGGGGCAGAAAGGGCGTGAGTCCGAGATATGAAGAAAACATATGCCATTGAGTTTCGTTTTTTGTTTGTTTTCTTGGGTCAGGCCCTTTCGGTCAGACAAGACCATTGCAGAGCCAGAAGGATGATAGGAATTAGGGGGAGACATTGGTCTGGGCGGACACCCTAGGCAGTCGCCGAGGTAGAGCCCGTCCGTAAGGACAGGCCACCCAGCCCCAAGCACTCCCTGCACCCGGCTACGGGGTGCGCTCCTGCTGCGGTGCACCCCAAGGGAGCAGCCGGCATGGGATAACCCTGTCCACTGTCCAGCCCGGAACAGGGTTGCGGCGTGGAGAAGGATTTCAGTATCCTGAGGATAGATACGACGGAACGGGTAAGCGCCATGTCATTGAGACCGAACGCTACCTGAAGTTACTGCAACGGATACAGACGAAGCCAGCTGCCGGCTCGCGACAGGAGGCATGCGTGTAACAGTAGTGCTCTACTGGAAACGCGGTTGGAAGAGGTAACGAGGTACGCCCCCGTCTGTCAGTTCTGGCAGCGCATTGGCACTGGTACCAGGGAAATGTGGCTCAAAACACGCGCTCGCTCAAAGCTCAAAGTACTCGCTCCGTCTCACTACGGAACATCGCAGGCGCCGCTATAAATGTTGACTGTTGTTATACACCGTTATTGTAGGCATGCTACCTACAACAAACACGTTTGTGAATAATGACAAACTTCTTGATGTATTACACACCAAGAGTTAGGTACTGTGAATGAATGAATACGATGAATGAATGAATACGAACGATGAACAGTTAAGTTCGTAATGCATGAGCCGTCAGCAGCCTTCCTATCATTCACATGGAACAATCATCGCGTTCACCAGGGCCCACCCATCCCCTTCACACTACATTCAGCCGTTACCTAATGCCATAGACATTGCGTTCCTGGGCCGGGTCGGACTCCCTATCCAGATCTGTATCACGTTAGGCGACGCACGCCGGTAGGCCGGTCGGTGCATCTGTCCGTAGAGCCCGGCCCGACGGACGGGTTCTTTCAGAGGCGACCGGCGGGGTGCGCCTGACCGACTCTACGATGGGTAGCCGTGAACAAGAGAGGAAGGAAGCAGCAGACGTGACCGAAGGTGACGGAAGGCGACAACAACCGGCGCTGTCTAGGCTAGCGAAAGATGGGCTAAGCCGAGACTAGCAAGTACATACAATTCATAAGGAACAGTAACGCAGATGTATATCAGGGGGCAAAGAGCCCTCTCCACTGCAGTCTAGGCTCACTAAGACCGTCATTTTGATCGAGACTCCCAACGACCGGCTGACCTCAACAGAGGGCCTTTCGAGAACAACAGTCGGCTAACTCTGTAAAACATCAGCAGCAGGAGAGCCCCTCCCAGTCGCCGTGTCTGATCGGAACAATTGCTCAACACCACCGGCCTGACAGCGCTGAACTATAGATGTCCGCTCTGACCGGTCAGATGCCGTCGATGCGATGACCGTGCCGTGGCCGGGTTGGGTCACACCCGGCGCACCGGGCTCTTGGGTAAGTGGAGCACACGAACGCGATCCGATCGAAACTGTTCCCAGAATTGGCGGCCGAAACGATACGTGTGAGGGGAGTTGTAGGTGACATTTTTACCGACGATAACCTACCGACTGCTCTCGTTAGGCAAAAAAAAAGTACATCACCGTCCCATGTTTGCATTGAGTTTTTTAACCCGCGCCGAGCTGGGGGGGGGGGGGGTCCCCACGCCCCCTCCTCAACCTTTTCGCGAATATCCCAAAAACGGCGGTGCTTTACGCCGCCATTTTTGGCACAAATGTTCATACATCTTTTCCAGCACATGTAAAAATTTCAGCTCCGGGTCGTTCAACGTCAGGTCACCAGGTTACGTCAAGTGACCTTGCCTCAGAAAATGTTCCAATCTTGCTGTAGCTACATCGACTAAACGATGACTTTGAAACTTTCAGCGATTGCTACGAGCAACAACATGTATAAAATGTATTTCTCGGAATTTTGATATTTTTGACCTACGGTCAGGTCAATTTTGCGAGCTCTCCATTATAAGTCAATGGGAGAAAATTGAGATGGGCCTCTTTTGGACGAATGTCGTTCTCAACATCCCTAACATTGGTTTATAGATAAACATGACACATTTGATCGGAAAATTGCACTCGTGACCCCTCTGTGTGCCCCTGAAGTCATCTCAGGTCATGAAAGGTACACAGCACTTTTTTATTATAACTTTTGATAGAGACGTGCTAGAGCGGTGAAAACACCTCAGATGTGTTCAGCTCGACAATACAGATCGACTGATTTGCAGCATAGCCCTTTAGGGTCAGTTAATGACCTTGACCTGAAAGCAAATATACAAAATGACCTTTCAAGGTCAAATTATAGTTCATTCGACGCGTCTCGATGAGAGGAGCACGATGCTGCCAGAGTAATGTCTGGCTCTTTTGAGGAAAAAGTTATTACCGAAATACATTTTTCGTAAAAACGGTTATTTTTAGAGTTTTTGCCCTTCAGAGGCTAAGCCGTTGACCCGAGGTCAAATCTGAAGGCACAATCAAGAAAGAGCGTTAAAAGGCCTCTCGAATGCGATTTTCCGCGGCGCTGTAGCTCTATTGGCTCCCGATTTATGCGCCGGGAGCGGGGTGAAGCGGGTGCACGTGGCACGCGCCACGTGCACCCGTGAGGGCACTTTTGTTTGAAAAATTGGCGTTTCGTCGACATAATGCGACGGCAGATTCAGGATGCAGCCTATTCATTTTAAACCAGGTCCAGAGACCAGAACCTTGATATTTATCATTTTCAATCGATCAAAGCCGTCAGTATGCTCGTGACTCAGTGCAGGGATCCCGCTTAGGAATCTGGCACACCCTTCTGAGGCGAACGACGTCCGGAGCCAGCCGCCCTGCCATCTAGTGCGAGATTCCATAGCCAGAGTTCGAAACGGTACACAGATGGCGGCACTTGTACCTCGATCGCCGAGTGGACTGATGCCACATGATACGCTTTATCGTAAACGGAAGGAAGCGTAAGATTATAGGTGTTGCAGTAAACAAAACGAAAACATTGCACGTCACATGCAAAGGAAACACCAAATCCACAACGATAAGACGGAAAACGCCACTCAAACAAGGCAGGACTCGACTAACCAAAAACAAACAGCTTAATCACAAAAGACAACAGTAAATCCAAAACAACACACCCAAAACCAGCAGCATTACTCTATCACCACCCATCACAACTTTTTTATCAGGTAATCGAGCAAGTAGCTTGTACACAAGCCCACCGCCGCAGGTCAATGTAGCCACCAGTGTCACGGCAGCCTTCAGTCCCCGTTTTGCCCTCCCTACGTCCCATCACATGCAGTTACACCCCCTTCCCTTCCCACACACTACTCCCCGATGCGTACCTGGAAGAAGACTTGCTCGAGGCCGCAGTCCCTGGCCACCTTCTCCTCAATGGTCAGGTCCCTGGCGAACGTGAGCTGGGCACGCGCCGGCGGACTGGCGTCACCGCCGCCCCCTCCGCCGCCCTCCGACAGCGAGCGGAAGGCGAAGCACAGCGTCAGCACCTCCACCCACGAGCTCTGCAGCAGGTTCATCTGGTCGTTGAGCACCAGGTTGCCGAAACCTGCCGACGGAACGCGGGGCGCACGGGTTAGCGGCGCGCTTGGGTAGTACGCATACGCATAACAGTGCGCGCGTGGTGTTAAGGTTAACCCGTAGCTATGCTGTCATTTCATAGCCACCAGTGTCGCAACCCTGACCATTATTGTCAACAATAATAAAAATAATAAATAAATAAGTAAGATAATACACAAAAATAACACTAATAAAGCAGTAAAACACAATTATCGGTGTCTCACGCCCTCCATTCACGCCTCATTGAGCTTCATGAAATTACCGGCGGAAACCATTTCGGACATGATATAGCCGTATAAAGTTGGTCGTAAGAGAAGCCGTTCCACTAATTTACCATTTCCGAAGGTGCTATGATGGTCGGGGCGTTGCCTCCAAATTAGTAATTATCGGTCACAGTAAAGAGCCGAGTCTCATTATCTAATGGTTTATGTGAATGACGCCCCTGTCTCGTCAATCACATAACACATCCGAATAGCCCGAAATATAAATGACTTTCATTAACGACTGAACCAGAAGCAGTAATGAGTTCCATCCACAGTTGATGACTGGAAATATGGTCTACGGAAGACCTAAACTATGGACCACCCTAACTTCCGATTGGTCTTTGTGTTGTGGTCGCTATCCCACCCCATAGGTGCTTACAACCGGTTCCAGTAATCGCATTTTCTGCAAGCTTCACAAAGAAAACGGCTCCTCGGAACACTTAGCTCGCCCAAACAGCTTATCAACACAACCTTATGGGATCGTATAGTTACCACGTGTCTATTTTTGTATACAAATCCACCCACTCAACGACCACATCCTGCCACAACAGGTCGTGGTCCTGACACCCTATCTGCCTGCTCCCGGGAAACCACCAGCCCAGCACCACCCACCCGCCTGGTACAGCCCCTGTTTTCCTCTTCTCAGGATTCTTGTCAACAGACACAGGGCGGGCGGCAATGGTCGGTGTTTTCACCCCGCCCATTAACAGCCCAGAGATCCCACTACATGCCTCTCCGCCCCTGCAGCAGCGCTCGTGTCGTGCCAGTCACGAGGCTGAGCCCCCATGCCATGTCCTCCCTCCCTCGTCTTCTCATGTCGTGCCAGTCGCGAACGGGGCAGATGGGCGCCACCAGAGGCCAGCGTCAGGGGCAGTAAAACGGGACAAAGCACGTCTGGTGCTCTGTTCAGCACCGCCCCGAGACAATGACTCATGCCAGCGGTCGGAGACCCCAGACGTCGCCATCGTAACTCGAGAGACCAAAGCGTTACCACACCATGATAGACGGTGGAATAGGCCAGATCAAACGGCGACATTGCTCATCAGAACAGACGGCAAAGTTACCTGCCAGATCAGCTGAGAGGCGCACCGCCACACATCTTAGAGTTGGATACCGATTATGATGCCGATGATGATGATTATTATTATTATTATTGATGATGATTTGTGATTTTAGGGAGCGGACTTCAGCCATCACATACAGTAGTAGAGGCCATCAGCGGCCACTACTGCTGTCATCTATATCTACCCAAGCATTCATTCAATCACTCGCATGGCTAGAGTTCACCATCAACTCGTTTTCACTGTCTGCCTGTCGTTCATGTTATATTTACTGTCCCAGGTCATCAACTCACCCCTTGGCGCCCGCTCCCCGCCCCATCGTCCATCCTCTATCTCACCCGGCAGCTGTTTGGCCCATCCGATGAAGTTGCCCAGCTCCTTGTCGAACAGACAGGCCAGCGCCGAGACGGTGCGGTACTCGACGTCCGGAATGGAGCGGTCCAGCGGCATGCTCGGCATCGGCGGCTCGTACTTCATGAGGTGGCGCAGCAGCGTGTTCTCTGTAGACGGGGAAGGAGTGTAAGCGTGGCGTGCGATGGGTCAGGCAGGGTCTGGAGGGCAGTCAGGGACGGCAGAGAAATGGGAAGAGTTCATGCATGAACGAGATGTTGAATTAAACAATTATAAAATGCATATCATTTATGCTGTTGAATGCCTCAATTGCTAACTTAATCATTAATGCATGAGCTGCACTATTCAGCCAACTTTTAATTGGCTTGTTCTGTGCTCGGATCTGAAAGTTATGAACCACTGCGCAGCACGCCTATCAATGTGTTAGTCCCGGTATGCTCCTTGTCACTTGATCCACCTCCAACGCACGCCTGGTATGCGGTGACCCCCGTCCACAACACCCGCAGTTGGACACTTGGACAGCTCCACAACGACCCGCGCAACCAGAGTCGGCCGACCTCGTGCGCCGATCGCGGGCCGCTCGCCAGCCGCCGATCTCTCTGTGTTTTGCCACACGCCGGCGCTGTCAGACTCCCCGCCAGCGCACTAATCGGCTCTGACCGCCCGGCAGACAGGCGACATGAATGACCCTCGGCCGGAGGCCATTGCTCTGGCCAAAGTGCGTGGTTTGTGCGTGGTTTGCGCGTTCTGGCTAGTGGGTTCAGTAACGATCAGGTCAGGGTATTTGCGTACCCTGCTTCAAGGATACCAGCGGCCGCCCGGGGCCCGGTACGAGCGGAACGATGAACGTGGTGGGCTTGGCTGCGGACGGCGCAAAGGTAGCCGGTGAGGCGGCGCGGCGGCTGAGCTGTCTGTACATTTTTTGACCGGACGTAGGGCTCCAATCGCAAGAGTTTGTGACAATCCGATATGTGTTATGGATTACGCCATCATGAAAGCGGATCCACGTTTTTCCAAAGAACCACGGACAACGATAGCCAAAATCCACCAACTGAGGGCCAAACTATTACCGCTTCCGGACACTGCGCGATAATCACGGGTGATCAGTGAGTCAGGACACGAAATCAACACACAAGACCACACCGGAAGGCGCCTCAACTGCTACCGGCGGCAAAACAAACGGCCGGGCAGCCGCCGACCTACCTTCGAGCGACGGTTTCTTGGCCTGGACGGTGTGCAGCTGGTAGGGCGGCTCGGGGTTGCGGCGATACTTCTGTCGGCCTCCCCGCACCCGGTCCAGCCGAACGCCCTCCTTCAGCATCCCCACGGTCAGACACTTCTGAAACCTGCCGGAGAACAACGGGAGGTGGAGAACTGTCAGGACGGCTGCCACTTCTGAAACCTGCCGGAGAACAACGGGAGGTGGAGAACTGTCAGGACGGCTGCCACTTCTGAAACCTGCCGGAGAACAACGGGAGGTGGAGAACTGTCAGGACGGCTGCCACTTCTGAAACCTGCCGGAGAACAACGGGAGGTGGAGAACTGTCAGGGCGGCTGCCACTTCTGAAACCTGCCGGAAAACAACGGGACGTGGAGAACTGTCAGGACGGCTCCCACTTCTGAAACCTGCCGGAGAACAACGGGAGGTGGAGAACTGTCAGGACGGCTGCCACTTCTGAAACCTGCCGGAGAACAACGGGAGGTGGAGAACTGTCAGGACGGCTGCCACTTCTGAAACCTGCCGGAGAACAACGAGAGGTGGAGAACTGTCAGGACGGCTGCCACTTCTGAAACCTGCCGGAGAACAACGGGAGGTGGAGAACTGTCAGGACGGCTGCCACTTCTGAAACCTGCCGGAGAACAACGGGAGGTGGAGAACTGTCAGGACGGCTGCCACTTCTGAAACCTGCCGGAGACGAAGTCGGGGAGAGGTCAGATCGACATACACACTTCTGAAACCTGCAGGGACGGTGTCGTGTGTCAGACGAAAATCAGAAATTCGAGATACACTTCTGAAACCTACCGGTGACAGTGTCTTAGCGCGCTCAGTTTGAAACGCATATGAAACAACCGACGGACAACAGGCAGCGTAAAATTGTCAAAATGTCGACACTTGCAAAACCTGCCAAGCCAGTAACGTCGATCGGTCCGAGCGCTGCTCTTTTCTGAAATTAAGGACAACAGACGCTGCAGACGTAATATTGGTTGTGTCAGTTCCAACATCATGCACTCCTGAAATCTGGTGGGAAGAAATGCGGGACAAGCGGGTTAGATCTGCTGAGGTGCTCCTGGGAGCGCCGAATATCACCAGTGCGAATCACAAACCAGTCTGACCACCAACTTTCGAGACCTGTCTGACAACACCAGGGATGAGTCACATCAGATGGGTCGGTACTCACTACTCAGTTAGCCAGGAGGCGGTCCCGCACCGGTGAACATGGTACACGTCTCTGCGTGTGGGAATGTAGGTAGTACGTCAATGTTGATACAATCTATATTTGGAACTCTCCGCGTAAAGTTCCATTTATCATGAGCCTCCACAACGGTATGCCGATGAGCAAGTTGAAGACAATAAAAGAACCATCCAGATGAATCAAAGACCACAATTAATCCACAATAGCGGAAGACCGGAAACACTTCATCCCTAGAAATATTGCACCGTAACAAAGCCTGTGACTCAGACTAGCTCGTTCGTGACCGTTTGATATTTCCTGACCGGCACTTTACCACTGTCTAAAAACGGACATTCCCGCCCTTGGCACATAAAGAACAGGACTGCATGTGTCACGGCGGTTAGGACTCCGCATCTCCCTCCCTTCTTTCTGCAGTCGTGCCCCAGTTGTTCCGCGATCGCGCCCCACATCTCAGTTCCCCACGCATTTTGGTGAGATGCGCCGCAAAGTTCCGCTCATTTCCAGCACAGCGGTGCCGGATTCAGTAAAACCTCGCGCCGCAGCCGTCTGGGATGAGGCCGCCCTCACAACTCGGCCCGGCAGCACGCTTTGATGTATCTCCGGCGGTCGCTCTGCGCGCAGTAATGACTGCACTCTATTTTAGCCGCGCGGTCCTGACCGATGATTCAATGATGCACAGCGCAGTGGGACAGTCCCAAGCCGCAAACCTCGGAAGTGATACACTGTCGTGGTCGCATGGCGGACCAAAGCCGGACTTAGTGAATGCGTCATTGCCTTATGGGTGTGTGGATCAGGTCAGTTAGCAGTAAAAGATGGGCCATTTGGAATAACTACCGTACAATGCGGATGCGTAGGCGCACGAGGGAAGGATGTAGATTGTAGGCGCACGTGGTGAATGTCGATTCAACCGCTTCGCTTGATAAAAACAAAACATAATCAGCACGTACGAAAACATAACAGCGGCAATGTCGATAAGAAATGTAAAACGGAGAAAAACTTGCGTAAAAATAACAGCGACGATCTCCATAATACAAGTCAAAAGGAGGGGACAACCTGACAGCGCAAATAACTTACGGGTTCGAGCTGTCAGAACTGCACGACTACAAATCTCGCAGGCAAAAGCACACTAGCTCACAAATTGGGGTTATCAGATCTACGCGGCTATTCACTCAACGGATAGATAGTCGAAACAAATCAACAGAGTTGCTATGTAGGCATGGATGGAGGACAGCCAGCGTAAAGTGGTAGTGGGCGTGATATGACAAGAATAAATATACCGTAACATTAGGGTCGCACAACGTATCAACCCTTTACCTCTCTTAAATCCAAATCACCATAAAACCATTCGGTGGCGGGCCTGCCGCACATCGTCATTTCTTGTTAGCCAGACAGAGGCAACAAGAAATGTTCAACATCCATTTGGAGGCCAAACAAAGCGGCGGGCGACTGAATGAAAAAGCTCCACACACGCAGCTGATGTTGGGACACAAAAATGGCGGCCGATGAAACAGGGTATACAGCTGGCGAAGCAAAAACCAGTCTTTACCGGTCTAGTCGATTAACCTGAACACGTCAACCGTCAGCACCGCCGTCATATTCTTCTGTAACCATATTCACCATTGAATACTATAAAACAAATGTGACAAAAACCCTCGGATTCCGTCACCGGAACTCAAACCAATCATCATGTAGGGGGTCGATAGTGAGCGCCCTGTACCCTGACCGACATTCGCTCCCCCCCCCCTCCCCCGCCGGTTCCAACGTGTGCTGACTGGAAGAAACAGCACCACTGAGGCCTCCTGTGACGGAAATGACACACAGGACGCACGATACAGACACGCATACAGGGATGCGCCACGCATCGCATAATGCGCCACGCACCGCTCAGCGGAGGCCTACTACACCAATACAGGTCCGTAGTCCCACATGCTCACTAATCACGTGACATCAATTATCCAAGCACGCGTCAGACCACGTGACATTTCCTCTATCTACCCACCTGCACGCCTGGCACGCCTTCCGCCGCCTTTTGTTGATCTCGCAGTCGTTATTGGCCGGACAAGTGTACTCGATATTGCCTGAAACATGGTAAGGGAGTTAGAAATCCGTGTCGAATTGTGTACACTCATGGAAAGTGTGCGGTGCAATGAGCGTCAGTTAGAGTCGAAGCAATCGAAGTCAATCGAACAAAGACTATCATTCCTTTTATAAATGCATTTGCCAGCAAACTGATAGGGCATGATCAAATAAAACGCTTTTACTAGAAATTCTTAAGATGTATGAAGAGTACAGCGTTCACAGGTCTTGAGTAAATCTGAAGTTAGCTCTCATATCACAACACCTGGGGTAATACGCATATAAGTCTGCCTCGTCATTTCAAGCCAGGGCATCATCACTAGGCAGGTGATACAGAGCCGGAAGGACCAACCGTCCGTCGAACCAGGTGTGCACACAACAACGCAACTGCACAGTCACGATGGTGACAGTGGTACAAAAGCAAAACATCACAAAAAGGCTAGGTAACGCACGCCATAGCATTCAAAACGTTTAACGCGTCATTTTTGACGTACTAAATGCTTTTTGAACACTGTCTTTGTCTCTAAACAGATCATAGACATGGATGTTGAAACGAATGAAAACCACGACCATTTACTTTTATATTCGTTTCTTCACGCTTATTACACAGGAAAGAGCTTTCCGTTAACGCCTTAGGAAACGCACAACAGACTCTCGTGGCCAACACGAGCGAGTGTGCGCACAGGGACGGGCCACAGCGGGCGGCGAGGACGGACCTGACAGGCTGCGCAGGAACGCCGGGATCCTCTTGCGTCGTCCGGATGAGGAGGAAGAGGACGAGAAGGACAGAGAGAGCAGGGAGGACGGATCGCGTCCCCAAGAGTCCGGAGTCTCGGCACCGCTAGCTCTCGGTTTTGGGAGCTGGTACCCCAGAGCTGAAACTCAGGAGGAAGGAACATCGCTCCGAACGTGCCTGAAGTTGCCAACTAGGACGTGGCCTCAACGAATCGTCGAAACTTGGTGATCAAATCTCTGATATGACTTATGACTTTAAAGCTTTTTACCTTTAGATTTGAGTGGTCAAGGTGGCGGAGCAAGTGAATTTTATATATATAAAAAATCACGCGAAACAGTTCAGGTAAATCACTGGCTTTAGGAAAGTCGGAAGCTAGCATTCCTCACATACCGTCACACCTCTATTTGACGACCCCATCAGACAGCCTCGTCGGCCGGTTCTCACCCTGTATGGTGCGTTTGAAGAAGGCCTTGCAGGCCTCGCAGCTGGCCACGCCATAGTGGAAGCCGCTGGCGACGTCTCCGCACACCAGGCAGGTCCGCTTCGGGGCGTCATCCTCGCCACGCACCTGCGGGGAGTTTACACAGGACGGTGGTCAGAGAGGAGAGGTAAGAGTAGTCAAGTCAGACGGGTTACGGTAACGCAGGTCACATGTTGATGCCACGACAAAGTTATAGAGAGCTGGAACTACGTGACGTAACATGACTGAGCTAAGGAACAATGCTAACCCGTAAGTCAGCTGTTCAGGGGCGAAATTAGGCACAGATGAACAGCGGATGTGGTGAAAGCCCGCTAGTTTTTCGATGATGAACGATCACATATTGGATAAGTGATAAATAATTTTCATGGCAGCATTTTTAATCACGTTAAGTAAAGTGCGCAGTCAATTTGGACTGACCGGACATTAAATGATTACATTTCAGCGATCCATTTAGCCGATTGAACGACTGGCCGATAAATACTGAATCGAAATTGATGGCTGCCGTTAGAGACGCTGCCAAATAATACTAGAGCCGATTGGCTCCGTTCGATCGGAGAACGAGCGCCCATGGCTGAGAGAAACATGGCACGGCAATTGAGGCCATCCAGCCACGATAAACTAAAACAGCCAGCAGTGCATGGAAGAAATGGGGCAAAGCCTGTTCGATCTCTCCATTCCTTTCCGATTTCGCATTCACTGTTCGATTCCTGAGCGTGTTTTGCGAGGCCAGACTTCTTCCTCCAGTCCGTCCCTGTCCCATTTTGATGGTGGCTTGATGGTGGACATCCTCTTCCAACCCATCCTTTGTTGACACACGTCTCACCCCCCATGCAATTAAAATACCTCTCACCTCATACTGGATGCCGCCCTCGCCGAGTGTGGTGGAGCTGCAGAATTGTCGGTCGGGCGAGCACGGCGACTCATAGAGCTGCTGTTTATCGAGCCCGGCGCCCGGCGAGGAGCTGGCCTGACGGTCGGAGCAGAGCTCGGCAGGGGGGTAGACGCCGCCGGCATCGGGTACGTCCATCACCTCGAAGTCGCCTCCCCGGTCCGGAAACTCCACCTGACCGACAAAAAGCGGGAGGGTCAGTAAAGAGACACAGAGAAGTCATGGGGGAGAAGGGACATGAAACCGCACTTCGGCAAGTTATAAACTCTAGCGAACGCTCATGAGCTGCTCCTGAGGGTCAGGTGCCGGGGGCGCGCAGCCAGCTTTTAGCAAGGGATCAGCGGACTAAGCACTGATGTCGGGCTGCCTCAGCTGAGTCCTAGACAGGGTCAACCGCATGGGTCAGTTGTTATAAGCAATATGCATTTGTCAGTTGCAGGGGTCAGTTGCACGGGGTCATCTGCACGGGTCAGACGCTCGGGTAAGCCAGTGCGGGTCGGGTGCAGACCGCGGTATCAGCCCACGGGGGCCGGTGGGGGTGACCGTCAGCGGTGGCCCCTCTGCAGACCCCGGGTAGGGTGTCAGGTTCCACCACACCCCCGTTCGTGCCGCATAGACCCACCACGTGCGGGCGGGGAGGGGAGCAGTCAGGGAGCCGGGCGCACGCACAGCAGCTTTTAGTGCCGCCCTGTAAATCAAGATCCACACAGCCCAGCTGTGATTTACACTGTCGCTGGTTTTATTCCGCGTCAAGTGCAGGGTTATAGCTAACGCGTAATGCTTTACGCAGGGTCGTGTTGTGCGCTCTAAACTACAGGAAGCTAACTAAGCTCACTCGCTCGACTTTTTTACGTAGGCAATTGCATAATCCATATCTTCGAGATGTGAAAACCCATCCATCACACAAGACTCTTCCAATGCATTATTGACAATATTTATTGAGCATAGTTTACTGGTCATCGAAGACCGTTATATAAGCTCAGCGTGCTATCAGACCTTTGTGACCATGTGACAATGATGAATGGGCTGTTTAATGGGTTAAATAATTACCGTCTCTTGACATTGCACTTTTTTCATCATCAAGTCCTACACCGAGGTAAACATTGGTATTGACTGATAATTACCAGTCTGAGACCGTTGTAATCGGTGACCAGCGTCACCAAAACAACTCTATAATAAGGATCGCGGATGATTTACAGCAATGCTCCAAGTTACTAATCCCAAACCAGACGCGCGGGACCAAAACAATGGAGCGGGACGCCAATTACGACGGGGCGAACATCGGCGAGCTGTCGTTTGAGTGCCTGGATGCGCTGTCCATCCAGTTAGCAACAACACCGGCTCAACACGAGCCCATATAATGTACAGTGTACAATGCGCGCCACTTGCACACCATATATTGCACAGTGCACACCACCATGCACCAGAGCACTTCCCTACCCCACCATCCCCAATCCCACGCTCATGCAGGTCGTCAACCCTGAGCGCCCCAAATTCGTTCCATTCTCTCCCACCTCCCCGCCCCACGGGTGCTGACGCACAGCCCAACTGGCGTCGAAAGCTCCGGTCGTTTGCACCGTCTTCAGCCAGCTCGTAACGAAGTGCGAACTAATGGCTGGCGCGTGCCGGCGCGGCCAAAGCTGCGCTCTCTCGACGGAAGTAAAAACCAACAGCCGCGTCCCCTCACCCCTGAGAGGCCAATAACTACCTCTGCGCAGACTGCGGCACAGACACGTGCACAAAACCAGCGGCAGAGAGGAAGCCGGCATTACATACAACGCCGCGCGACTAGGACCGGGGTCGACAGCAGGCGACAGTGGACAGGAAGCGCCATAGCGAGAGGGCACGGCATAAGACTAGAGTCTAATCGGGTCTCAAAGCAGCCAGAAAAGTGACTTTTAAAGTATTTTCCTACCTACGCAAGTATTCATTATCAATTGAGCAGAATGCGCAGGTGTAACTTATCATGGAATGAGCAAGCATTTAAGCGCAAGTGTTAAGCCGATGTTGTCCGTCTCCAGCCCCCACCCACCACATGAAACAATAAACAAAACACTCCCATTGACTGCGTCTTCGCTCGCTCCGTAATCATCCCCCGTTCATTCCATTGCGTCATAAGTCACCCAGTAGCCTCACGACTACTTGGAGTGATGAGGCAACTGTCACTTGCAACACTTCTCTTCTCTACACTTGCTCTTCGCTGCTGGTTTTCCAGGCACATGTGCGATGAGCTAAATTTCCGTGAAACCGCGCTGGCCGGGATCCACCGGAGCACGACCAAAGAAAGCCGCCTCGATCGTCTGACCAGCCGGGCACATCCTCGTCGGACCGAATCTGTCTGCGGTCCGGGAAACGGTCCCAGTGATCCCAGCTCGGCCGACTCTGCCTGCCGCCACCCGACCGTGGATAGGTTCAGAGTTAGCTACTCTACTCCAACTCTAATGAAAATCGAGTAAGTTATCGAGTCTCACTTGGTCACTATCTACAGTGACTCCATTCCGTTTTAACTCTGGAAGCTACTGAAATAAGATCTGACTCCAGCGACTACTGAGGCCTCGTTGCCCGACTGTGACCGAAGCAGTAGTCGTTACCACAGTTCCCCGTCAACGACCGGTCACGGTCACAGGCAACCGGTCAACCGGCGCTGACGGAGCCCGCTGCCCGCTCAACTGCTGGGCAGAGCGCGACCGCCGGAACCACGGGCGGGTCGAGAGAAAGGATAGAGGAGGGATGGAGGAGAGTGAAAAAGAGGAAAACATGCACCATGGTGTGGCAGGCATGAGCGAGTTCGGTAAATAAAAAAAAAACGATTGACGATTCCATCAATTTGAAGTCGAATTTATACATGTAAGTATATATATGTTGCGGGCCAAGTGCGAAGGCTAGTCCATTCGCGAATGGCCTAGTCCAAGTGCGATAACGCACTTGGACTAGGCCGTTTGCGAATGGACTAGTCCATGTGCGTTATTGCAGTTGGCCTAGGCCGTTTGCGAATGGACGGGCGTTTATGCTCCCAGTCCAAGTGCGAAGTCAGGCCAAGTGCGAAATATCCAGCAAAGTGACGTCAACTTGGCAAGTCAACTTGGCATGTGCAAAGTCCCGCACCGTCCCGGTACACCACACCAGAGCAGAATGAATCGAGCGCCACAAACTCGACCAAGGTCAGGTCGGGTCATCAGCGGGGAGCCCGGAGCACGGTACTAATGGTCTCCGCACATCCGCTGTTCGAAGGTCACGGGGATATTTGACCTCCCCAGATCCAGATCGGTGGCCGAAGCCTGGCCAGCGGCAACACGTTGCTATAATTTCCGCGTTGTGCAGGGTTCAGCGGAAAGTCGCATCCCGAATGGACCAGGTGTGTGGAGACCTTAACCCAGAGTTGCGCCAGCTCGTAGATCTTCTCCGGAGAACAAACTAAACATATAGACGCAGTGGCGTCGCCACGGATTTCCGACTAGGGGATCTGGTCGGACGGTCAGTCAAAGTAATCCCCACCAAATACTGAAAAATCCTCGGATTTAGACAATTTTATTTTGAGAATGCACCAAAATCGTTTTTAAAATATTTTATTTTATTCTTGATCGATTTTCGTGGCCAAAAGTGTGTGTGTGTGGGGGGGGGAGGGGGAGGGCGTCGGACCAGCATATTTTCAAGAATGTGTGTGTGTGTGGGGGGGGGGGGGGGTCCGGACCCCTCCGACCCCCCCCCCCCCGTCGGCGACGCCCCTGCATCGACCAGCGGTCCCCCATTCATTCGGAATCGGGACCGCCATTCGCAAACGGCCTAGTCCATTCGCGAATGGACTAGTCCGTTCGCAAACGGACTAGCCTTCGCACTTGGCCCGTAACATATATATGATGTTTTGTGACCACTGACCAGTCTGTCCTTACCGGAACAAAATCTACATTAGGCCTGGTTCTCTGCATGAAACTGAAACTGATACTGTTCTTTATCTTTTTGATCAAAGCCGATTCAATGAAAGGCACCGACATATCCTCAGGATATCACCCACTGAAGAACACAGCGTCCGGTCTCAGAGTCACCGCGTGCTCTGCCCAGCGGGCACCAGACGCCGGTAACCAGACACCGCTTCCAAACACACACACTCGCCGTATCAATGAGACCGGTCCTCTGCTAATCAGTCCGTGAATAAGGCCACTGCTCTCCCAATCTGTCTCTGACCGGCCGGAAGGAACGCCGATATACCGCCGGCTGAGGAAACACGTCTCCATTGATGGGAGCTGCCCGCCAGCATTGCGCAACGCTGTTGACGTTGACGTTGCACGAGATAATTCACGTCGGTGACGGAGAAAGAACAGGACAAGTTCAGTCCTTCAATTCATTCAACATCCCCCAAATTTTTTCCTCAATTTGTTTACCCATTTTTTATGCGGTGACATCCCGGTCAGCGGCTATACGCATGACCACTTGCTTGTAACGATACACACAATCGCAGCACTGAGCCTGGGTCACCCATGAGAATTACTAGTGTGACAACTGTTGCATGGTTATCTGCACTCAGTATGTTTCACAGTAAAACAGAATTAAACACAAACACTAAATGACGAATCTGGGGCGAAAAGACCAGTGCACGATGGATGCAGGAAGGCCTTACGATACCGGTGTCTATAAAGCTGTCATAACAACACGTGCAAACGGTGGCAATGGGTAGATTAGAAATGAAGTGTTGATGCGAGCGAACGCACACTCAAAGAACTGTTTACATAAATTGATTTGACGCCGATAGACGTCACCTAAATACAACTCTTCTAGATACCATGGTGTGAAAGAGATCCTCGAGCGAAATGTGCATTATCTTGGAAGTTGAAGCGAAATAGTTCAACAATCCAAATGACATAAATCATTCCCTTCACTGTTTAGCGACCCAACCCGAAATCCCCCCTCATTTTGCCATCGCTACCTTCGCTACCTCTCTCCCACTAGCCCGTTCTCGCCCATGGCCAGCTAACGAACCGTCCCTTTCCCTTCCCCTTCCCTACTGTGTCAGGTGTCAGTCAGTGACCCCAGCGTCTGTCTGTGTCGCGCCTGACGCCACTATGACACTCCACTGTATCAGTGTGTCACAGTGTCGTCGTGTGTCGTGTCGATCTTTCTGTGTCAGTGTGACGTCTATGTCGTGTCGACCTCTCTCTGTGTCAGCGTGTCGCCCGTGTC